TCTCTTTCACCTGGTGATCGACTGGATCATGAAGACGTCATTATCTGAGGAGAAGCATGGGATACAGTGGACAGTCAGGATGTAGCTGGATAATTCGGGCTTGGTAGATGATCTGACTCTTCTACCGCACACGCAACAACAAATGCGGGAAAAGACGACCAGTGTAGCAGCAGCCTTAGCATCAATAAGTCTCAATATACAAAAAGGGAAAAGCAAGATTCTCCGGTACAACACAGCATGCAACAAACGAATCACACTTGATGAAGAAGATTTGGAAGATGTGAAAATCTTTACAAATTTGGGCAGCTTCATTGATTAACATGGTGAATCTGGTGCAGATGTGAAGGCGTGGATCGGCAAAGCAAGAGCAGCATATTTACAATTGAAGAGCATCTGCAACTCAAACACAACTCTCTGTCAACCAACACCAAGATAAGAATTTTCAATACAGATGTCAAGACAGTTCTACTGTATGGGGCAGAAACTTGGAGAACTGCGGAAGCCATCATCCAGAAGATACAAGTATTTATCAACAGCTGTCTACGCAAAATACATTGGATCCGCTGGCCAGACACTGTCAGCAACAACGTATTGTGGAAGAGAGTAAACCAGATCACAACGGAGGAAGAAATTAGGAAGAAGTGCTGGAAGTAGATAGGACACACATTGAGGAAAGCACCCAACTGCGTCACAATACAAGCCCCCAAATAGAATCCTCAAGGCAAAAGGAAAAAAGAAAGAACAAAGTACACAGTACGCCGAGAAATGGGGACAGATATGAGAAAAATGAACAAAAATAGGATAGGACTGGAAGGGAAGGCCCAGGACAAAGTGGGTTGGATAATGCTGGTCGACAGCCTATACTCCATTTTGAATAACATCGCCTACATAGTCGACCAACTCAAAAGAATCCTTCAGAGGCAACTCACATAAACGCATTCGGACAGAATCCAATAATTTAGCTAGGTTATATGTAGAGGATCGACACACTGATAAAATTGGATGTAAAGGAATTTTTGATTTATGAATTTTAGGTAATCCATGTAAATGAGGACAGTCAAAACCCATTGGTTTTAGAAAATTAAATTCTTCTTTATCAATCATATTCATGTGTAGCAGTTTTTATTAGGTTTGAATGTATTCTTCCTCCTAGTTTGTTAACACCTTCAAATTCGACACCAGGCATAATTTTACTTTTGTAGTGCCGGTCGCTATGTTAAGCACACATAGGTTAGTCTAGCTTTCAGACAGACCAATTTATTCATTATTGAGTCACATTTTGACCTCGTTAGTCATTCACTTATTAACCTTGACTATTTTTACGTAAGCGTATGTGTGTGTATTTCCTGTCTTACTCGTCACATGTCTGTAACTTATCAACGCTTGGCTGAATGGAATCGGTTCACACGCCTTCTCCACGGCGTATCATTTTGATTCGCTCTCTTCTCTTCACTTCATTCGTTTCGTTCCTCTGACTGTTTGTCCAGACCAGTGAGTGTACAAACCATACATATTCGAAACTTCATTCTAGTATTTAACTTATTTAACACCGTTATTCACTAACGCGAGTTAAGTCGATGATAATATACGAGGATAGACGATATGTGCATTTCGATAACAATCTATCATACTATCCAAATGTAGTCAGATTTCGGGCCATTAAACTTTCATCACTGAGGATGGATAACATCTTACTGTTTTATTCCCATTTTTTCATGATAACCACACCTGATACTTCATCAGGCTTCAACAAGATAATATCAGGGTTTGTTCGTAATTCCTTTAGTGATTTGAAATGCTGAGAAGTTAATATGCTTCTCAGCTTTCATCTACGACTATGAAATTGGTGCAATATATCCAACAGTTTAGCGTTACACCAACTGATTATTTAAAGACATAGGGGCTAGCGTACTCAGTTGATCAGAGAGATTTTCAAATCTGGCGTTTATCACTATTTGCGTTTAGGGACAGGAAAATTAAAACTGAAAGTGTATCCTCTTCATTAGCCGACAAAACAACGGGCGATAAATTAGTGACGTAATTATCAGGATTAACTGGAATCAGACTAACACGATTAATATTACTGCAAAATTTTTCAAGCTTTCTTCCCATCCTTTCTTTTGTTTTCAAAATAACAATACTGCAAAAATTGATTAATGTAATTAGGCAGACCATAGATATTTCTGTTAATACAGGCAATGCTTGAGTGTGCAATTAAATCAAAATTGATCAGTTTATTTTGACAATTATCTATATATGATTTCTACAGTTGAATAAGATGTGAAATATTCTGTTGTGATTTACTTGAACGTAAATTCCTATACAATTTTGCACATAAGGTTAACAATTCAACATAACTCTTATGATCTTCGTCAACATTGTTGTACCGCGTTCTGATATACATATTTAAATGCCGATAAAACTAAATGTTCAGAATCGGTGATGATAATTGATTTCAAGTCAGGCTAAGTCTGTTTATTTCGTTGAATGCGCGCATGCGAATTCACACTTTCCTCGTTAATTAAATTTTAAATCAAGGAAATAATCACATTGAGTTTTATGATAAAATGATTTGTGACGAGGTCCAAGATTTTTAGTCGACATAGAAATGAGAACACTTCACCAACAATTACAGATTCTTTACAGTTGTAACAAAAGGGAGTCTTCTTTTCAAACCAAAGTAACGGAAATGATCGTCAGGTAACAAAGCCGGTTTCATAGTTTCTTACATGCAAATTTCATCCTGACCTTGATCCAAATATTATACAAGCTATTCATTACATAGGAGGTAAGGAGTGAAGAATAGAGATATGTAAATTATTGATTGTACTAAAAACAAATACTTTACTACCACTGTACACCATGGCTTTCAACGGTACTCTAACAGAAATCAATCAGTTACGAACGTCGACTACTTTTGATTCTTCTATATCAATTTTCTTACAATAAATAATAATTTATGTTGTAGTGATATTCCATGTACCACATTATGAAATAATGAAAAGAAGAATGATTCGTTAACCACAAATCAATCGATGTATAAATGTTCTCTTTTCCATGAATGGTCAGTGGAGTGTAGGTAATTGGATGTACGCAAATTTAAACACAAAGCACTAACATATGTGCTGTGTACTGAATGCATAAATGATGAATAACGAAAACAAAAGACAGAAGTCAAAAAACTTTGAGCTATGATATCTTATCAATATTTGATTACCTAGTTTGTTTGTTTTTTCATAACACAGAATGGATGAAAAACAACAGGGCAAAGAGAAACAAAAGTTCAATGCAGTTAGCTTATTCACTTGGAAGTTGTGAACTAAATTAAAGATAGTAACGTAAAAATCCATTTTGAAATTAGTAAAGCAGAAGATAATCACAACAAGAATCATGCTTTTGGTGCCAATAACAAGAATTTGAACAACAGCATAACAAAGGACTTACTATATTCGGTACAAATGTTAGCAGCATAAATTATTATATTTATAAGTAAGTTATACTTTTGGTGTGTTTGTTCATAAGTGTATTTCAAGTTTTGTAACTATATGACTAACTGTAACCTTAATTTACCTAAATAACACATACACACGCACTAATTATAAAGTTTCCATAGTTGATTGATATTCATAGTCTAATCGTTTAATGACTTAGTCTAATAAACCTCAAGGCACTCTTTGTAACCTATTCACTTATATTAATCAATATTTCAATAAGTTTCAAAAACAAACTAGCTCTATTTGTCCCCAATACATTTAGATATATAGTGACATGAAGTAGGTTAATACTTTATCTTTTGTTTTGCTATTTACCACTTGCATGAAAATGTGTACAATATTACTTTTTTTAAAAAAACGTTGAATACGCTTGAAAAGAGCAACGATGACTAGAATAAGAACAGCAAAATACAACAGAAACAGAAACAACAACAAAAAGAACAAATGTTCGATAAAACGCATATATCTCGCTTAACAGTTCTTCTCTTTTTTGTCGTCTTCTTTTCTGAACACTGTACAAGCGTATGTTTGTGTGTACGTATTGGTATAAGCTAAGTGTAACTAACACAAAGAAGTATGTGAAGACAATTTCTGTTAACAAGATGTAGAAAACAAAAATCAATATGCAAACATGGCAAAAGAAATTTGAAAGAGAATCAAATACAAATGAATGAACCATGATAGTAATAATATTAGGCCAAATCAAAAATTGAAACAAGAAAAAGAATTAATAAAGAAGAATTACTAATTTATTCACTCGGTCAACTAATATGGTGATCAACAGTCTACAAAAAAAAATTACACAATTATAAATTTACCACATGATTTAAAAGAATTTTTATAAGTATGATGATTTATGAAGGAAGGAAGGAAGGAAGGAAGGAAGGAACGAATTGGCAATAATGTCAAACAATACGTTTATGTTTTACATGAAAATCAATGAAATTTATGTGAATTAAGAAAACGACTCCAATAAAAACAATTTTAATAAATATTACGATGATGAATACAAAATGGGAAATTTATTGAAATATTATTTTGTTCTCAAAACAAAATTTAATGACGGTTATTATGTAAGCGGAGAGGATAGTTGAAATGAGCATTATAAATGACAATGATATAACGTTTAATTTATACTAATTCCATAAAATAGAAAATGACAAAATAGTACCATCAGAATTACATTCATCCGCATAGACCAGAAAGAAGTTCGATGTTTCTTTGTGGTTTTCTAGATAGATTAACACAAAGTATTACCAGGATAATGGATCGCATAAATACGAATTTCAATTTTCCACGATTGAAATATAGGAATAAAGAAAAATGAAAGGTTGGTATTGAATCACCAAAGAAACAATTTTTTTAAAAATGACAGTAAGAATAACAAGCAACGAAAGCAAAAAGGTTGGATTGGAAAACAACAAAACATGAAAATAATCGAAAAGTACCTGGTGTTATATTAGATAAAAAATAACACTAATTAGAAGAAAAAAACTACTCCGTTGATCAAGTAGCAATTGAATAATTGACTCCATAATAATCTGAATGATATTGTCGAATTGTGCAACACATAACCATTGAGAAGAGAAGACAAAATATCTATGAAAAAAAAAGAAAAAATCAAGTCATTATACATACCATCTATTATAAAGATAAGATTTCAAAAGAGAAATATTTAAGATAGAATGGAGTTACCCTTTGATTTAGTTTTTTTTTATAACTAAAAATGACCTATGGTACAAGTGAGTCGTAAATTAAATGAAAGTAAAAAAATCAGTGATGAATAGTTTTACCAACTCTATATGCTTGGAGTATAACAAACACTTACTCAAATTGGTATTCATATAATAAATTGACATGAAAGAGTGATGCAAGCTCTTGGGTGAAATGATACAAAATGTGACTGTTGCATACATCATTGTGCTCATCATGTATATATATATATTGTATGTGTTCAGATGTCACGAATAGTCATATTTTATTAAGTGCATTTTCAGTATATGCGTGCACATAAATCCCCTTTGTTTATTTGATATATCAATAAACCGAGTGAACACTTAAAACATAATTCACTGGGAGCTTGTGTTGTACACTTTTGATCATTGAGCTGGTTAGTCTTAAATCTCTTCATAATATTTTTTATTGCTTTTTTTATGTCACGTTATAAAGGTTATCTGATAAAAACAGATGATATGAAAGAAGAATATTCTTTTCAATAAATTCTCTTCAGGTTCTACAATTATATATCCAAAATAATAATCCGAAGAGTGACCCTGTTTCATTTAATAATACAACACGATTAAGTCTAATAAATATACGAAATTAAACGGGCTCAATTTAAACTGAAATCATAATAGATTCTTAACGGCTAAAAGAGAAAGTTTTGGATACTTCCCTCAATGTTAAATGACTATATCTTTCTATATGGAAATTCTATAATGAGCAAGAAGGCAAGAGAGAATAGAACAAGGAAGCTATAAATAATAGATAAGAATTGAGCACTTATTATAATCGAGTTAAAACGTCAGCACAAATTAGAAGAATAATGTAACGACGATGCTATTAAAATTTGTAAAATATACAAAATCCGGATAACAGACGAAACGTGAATCGCTTTGCTGATAAATATTCTTGATATAAATGAAAACGCCAATTCTTCTAGTTTGATTTACTTGATTGGTTTTCTTAAGTTTGCACGATGTATACAGCAAAATATTAGGTAGTGAATAACTAAATCTACTGCTACATATCACTACCGACTGAGAAAAATCTGTCCTTTATACTTCTGGTTGTGCATAATTTTTTTCTTTGAACAAGCCTAAATTCATTTTCCGAAAAGTTTTTAGAATAAATAAGAACTTCCTTAGAAAATACATTTTTTGGTGAAATTTAGAAATTCCCTGTTGCTCATTCTTTGTCTATCTGATCATTTTAAGTAGCTAAGATCCACAGGTGTTTATCAATCTAAACTGGAAAGAAAGCAAATAGAAGCTTATCAAAAATAGTAATGAAAGAATAATTTCGAAAGCAAAAAGTGGTATAATTTATACATATTCATTTTCAGCACAGTAAACAACTTCAAACCATACACTCTACGCTTTCAAGAAATTCATTCTTAAAAATTGACTGACTAATGTTGAAAGAAATACTTACGATAGAACTAAGATAAATAGTGTTTCATCGTTTGTTTACTTTTTATTACAACTTAACATGCGCCAAGCTTTTACTGTCAAACCTCATAGTTTATTGGATTAAAAACGAACAAATTATCGATATTTGTAATTTTATGTTTTTAAACTTGGAGACAGTTGCCAGTGTATACTGGAAAATCGTTATAAAACTTAGAGATATGATAAACGTGAAAAATAAAGTTTCAAGTTATTTTTTTTAAATCATCAGAATTTATTTGACTTGTAAAAGGATATATGTGTGAATGCATCCTATTTTTAATATGTGTATTTACACCTTAGACTAAACAATTTCATCTATGCACATACATGGACATATATATGAAGCATTTGAACAAAAGTCATATAAATCACTAACCTATATTGATACATAGTATATCGTTTGCCGATTTACATAACAAACATTTAAATAAGTTAGTATATTCACTACATTTCACTAATATATAGTCGGATATGTCTCTAAGTACCGAACATTCAATTCTGATTAGTAGTAATATTAATGCTAATTTTGTAATATATGCGCATAAACGTAAACATTTGCTAATGTAAACAATAACTAAGATTAGATTAGTTTGTTAGGCAAAAAATATATACACTGCACTTTATATATATATATATGTATAATCACAAAGGCTTATTCATACTATGCACTAAATGTGATGCATACCATTTGTTATTTTTTTCATGACTATCAAAATAATTTTAAATATCACATTGATCTGGATACGAAAGTATATGAAGTTATTAGACTTTCTAATATCAGGGGGATAGGAAAATAATTAAAACAAAAGGATAATTATTGTGTAAAATGTACCAACAAATAAAAAGCCTACAGTTTACAAACTACAAAATAAATATTTTCTCCAGAAGAATCACTATTTCTGAAACATTACACTGACTATACATTAAAGACTTTCAATTTCCTTGTTAAATGAAAAATTCCAGTCAAACTAAGTAGACACCAATATATATATATATATATATATATATATATATATATATATATATATACCAAGTAAATTGAACTGTAAAACAAATATAACAGATATTAGTTTATCTTACTTCAAAAGCTGCAATAGAAACAGTTGCAAGGAATATAATGACCAATTTATCTTTCAACATTACTTTATATTTATCTTTGCAACCCTGGAAATAAAAACAACAGAAATCTCTGATACTTATAATCAAATAATAAAGTCACAAAGAAAACATCAGAGCATAATGGGTAAACAAACAATTAAAATAACATTAATAACACAATGAAGTTAAATTCACAATCAATTAAGAACAAAAAATTGATAAAAATAAATGAAAATTAAATGTATAATCTGTTTATATTATTGATAATATGAATATCGGAAATTAATCTTATTTGTTTTAATTGAAATAACACAGAATCCATAAAATCTTTCGAAACTGTTTATATTTTCCAATCGACAAATATAAACATGTATAAATGCTGAAATTTTCTTTTTCTTACTCAATAGTAAACAATAAATAAATCAATAAGCAGTCAAAATGAAAGCTGCAATTGTAAATTAGCCAATAAACAATGAAAGAATGGGATTTCAACATTCTAAGTAAAAGAAAGGCAGGTATAATATATGTAATACTACTTTTCCAAGAGTAACCCTATATAAATAACATTATTTATGTTTATGAGTAGTTGTAGACTTTCACATTCTGGCAATAATATGAAGAGAAAATGTGATCATTATTGATATTATGAATGTAATCAATCGATAAATAAAATATTAAGTGATTTCTAGAGTTTGTACTGATTGTAATCATAAACTGATATCAACTGAAAAATAATTGATAGCTAAGATACGTTAAACACGTTTCGTCATAGTTCCGATTCCTTATTAATATGCACCTTTGGATCTTTTGATCCTGCGATAAGCACATTAACTTGAAAGTGAAATTTCAACTACTATCAATCTGCATCAGAGTACGAAAAAATGTATGTCAAAATACTTTTCAAGTTAATAATTGACTTTATAATCTGTCATATAACAAGTGTTACACTGACAAAATGAGGTGCAAAAAATGCAAACAAAGCAACTCCTACTTCCTAACAATTTTTCATAGAAAATGCTTATTATTTTTAAAGCAAAAAAAAGCTGAGTTCTTTACTAAATATATAATTAGTAGTAATCATGGAATTCGGACGAACACACAAACATCCTACATCATTTAGATTTGATAAACTCAAAAATAGTATAGCTAATAGTTATGGGCATAACAATTTGATTATATTTTTTGTTGCTGTTTTGGTATGGATGATCATTAGAATAAGATTTGTTTTCTTACAACTTTATTGATTGACCTAATAAAACATTTTGGTAAATTTAGGGCATTTCAATCACGACTTAGCGATTCATAATCAATGAATATTTTAAACAAATTCATTTTTCCGAGAAATCACTTTATCAGTTTATTTCTAAACAAATGAAATCATTAACGAAAATGTAATAACTAGTCTAATCGACTCAGTCAAGTGTGCACTGTGATCTGATGTTGAACAGCTGAAGGAAAGTAGGTTTCATAGTAGTTGTTACAATTTACCAAGGTCTTTGCAACCTTCCCATAGAATTCAAACACACATTACTCAACATCATGATCATAGGAACTAGCATAGGGTTGATTGCATACCACGTTTATCTCAGAAAAATAAAGATATATAGTCGTATATTAATACAGATGTTATTTTGTAGGAGGCAAGAGTATTATCTTTATCAGATATATTGTTCACAACAATAATATAATTATAACTGAACTTTCTTAAAATTCCTCACCGTCAGTTCTAAATGCAATATTAACTCGTAACATAAACATTTCGAATAAAAAAACGTTAAACAAACGGTTATTGTCCAATAGCAAGATTTCAAGTATGGGGTCGTGAAGATTATCGAATTTCATTGAAACCACGAATCAATCAATGTTAGACCACCATTGAAAACCTGAAAGCGCTGGATGGTCGTTTCGTTCTAGTATGGGACTACTCAGAAGTGCGCGCCCATAATCCCGTACGCAGGACTCAAACACAAGACCTTCGGTCTCGCACGCAAACAGACGTCCAAGGCCTCCAGATTCTCAACAGTGGTCTAGCTTATATCAGTTCATGATTTCAATGAAAACATGCATATTAATACAGATTACATTTAATGTCTAATATGTTATCTAGTGGTGTCAATCTAATTAGTTCTTATCTGGGAATTATATATGACTATTTTACTATGTATTATTTCAACTTCATACTGTTATTATCATTTTGACATGGTTGTTTCTTTTGAATGTTTTAACCAATCAAACAATGCTTCTGATCTTATGTCGAGTTAAATATTTGCAAAAACATCAGAAAGTAGAAAATGAGAACTCGGTGGTACGTCGGTCACTTAGTCCGAACGTGGAATATGTTGACCTTTAACCGCAAAATGGTAAACATTCATAACGTCTCGAATCTGAGCATTATTTGAAGTGGTTTCACCGATAGTCGAGACCAATTACTCCTGGTACATTACTAAACAGGAATTATACAGAAGATTTTCAGTCTGACGCTTCAAAATCTTAATTTGAAAAAATTAAATACTGTGTCTTTTTAAATTAACATTTTTCAGACTAATGACGATTTTACCAAAAATAATCTAAAATTCGCATAAACAGGAAAACCAAAGTTTATGTACAATGAGTATATAAATGATCAGACACTCGTAAGCTACTAGTATTTGACCACAGATGTCTCAGAAATATTGCTCGCATCTGCTGGGATCACCGGGTAAGTTAGACGCAGGGTATTAGGGAATGATGGTAAATCAGTTGATGAGGTAGTGAATCTTCATCGACTGAGATGGTTGGGCCACGTGTTACGTATGTCTGAACACCGATTACCACAACATGCAGTGCTAACCGGTGTTGAGGATGGTTGGAAGAAAGTTATGAGCGACCAAACTAAAACGTGGTATCAGTGCTCGAAGTCACAAACTTGTAGTTTGAGCCATGTTGGGAGATGCAGACTACTTGGTTAGGGTCCGCGTGACTATCGTAACCAATGGTTGGAGACTATGTGTGACATGGCTCAGAACCGATCACAATGGCATCGGTGTATACACTCTCTGTCTTCCCTTAAACTAGGAGATTAAAATCGCTTCATATCTTTCTTTCTACGAACTGATTCTTTCTTCCTGTACTATATCCTTATATGCAATCTTTTTTTTATATATTACCACCTCTGAATTAACAAATTTTATGAATCCGGTGTCCATCTTGTTGTGTTAATGAGGTATGGCAACTTGGACCGATGCATATATGTGCCTCGTCCTACGTTGTAGCTGACTGACTGACTGAGATAAGGAAGAAGTAAACAGAAATACTGTTGTCAAGACTTTAGGTTTTAACTAGCAATAAAGTAACAAATAAAGATATCATGATTCAAACATACAGTACAAGCTTTGATTAAAAATAATTCTGATTTCTTTTAAATTATTATTTGTAGAAGCTTGCTAACGAACTAACTTTCTGAAACCGTAATAATAGAGAATAGGTTGTGGAATGATGAATTCTATAGACAAACTGATAGAGTAGCAGTCTGGTCATCACCCGCCTTACTTCTGGCTGACTGTTTCATTCTAAATCTCGAAAACACTAAAATTATACCAACAATTGATAGCTTCTATCTATATAGGAAATACCGATACTGAATGACAAAGATCCGAAGCCAAAACAACAACGTAAAGGGATGTCCACAGCACCAAATAAAACTCTTTTCATGAACACTGTTTAAAAGATATAGTGCAGCAGAAATGATGAAAAATTAACTTCCGAGGTCTCTTAGGAAAATATTTTTTTGGGTGGAACCTCGTATTATATTTTCTAGTCGTCCTATGATTCGTAGTTGTGTGAAAGCTCCCCCTTTGGGTTAGATCGGTGTGTATCTATCAGTTTGCTTCCTTATGTGAAGCAAGTTATATTGGCCACACAAATTGGCCCTTTCTGAACAGAATCCAGAACATTACACTGTCTGACCTTCTAAACGATTACAGAAGTCGGCCAAAAGTTTCATCTTGGAGCAACTAGTCAATTCTGGTCACTCTGTTTCACCAGAAGCCTCCTTCAAAATCATACATACTGTCAGAAGAGCCGGCTACAGATGAATACAAATGAAAAACTTATTTATATCAGAGGTTATAGCTATCGACTTCTTCAAGCCGAACCTTTGCGTACAAGAATAGTATATTCAATCCCTCATGCTTACATGATTTTAACCATTTTCTATCTTTCATAATCTACTGTTTCTTATCATTATTTCTATTCTCTTCCAATGATTTTCATAACTGTTAACTAACCATTATTATAAATTTGAATTATTCTGTTCTTAATAGCTAGCAAGTAGATATTTATCTTCACTTTAGCACTTTTCACTAGCTCATTATTGCATAACCTCATGTCAATATTTGATTTTCATAAGCAATTCAGTACAGGTTAAGTTTTATCCAATGACAAGAATTAAACAGTTTATATTAAGATTCACTAGTAAAATAATTTTTACATTTAGTTTAAAAAGAAACATAAATATTCTTTTTTTAAAGATAACACTAAGAATAATTCAGTTGTGAAACAGTGCATCAAATTACTCGTTAAATAATGTGATGCCAATTCACACGAGTTTTAATAATAGATTCATTTCAAAGACTAAGAATTGATTACTATCTTTTTTATATATAAAAGCAAGAAATTAGTTTCAGTACAGAAATAAAAGGCGGATTCGAAATTTTCCAATTAATAAACACACTGAACCTTTTGACAGACTGTTTTTTAGCTTATAGTAGTCCCAGGCATGATATAACAATGTACAGTTGAAGCTTCCAATATACATATAAACCAGGATATGAAAATAAAAAACATAGCTTACGATTCAGTTTCCTAAATAACCTGAAAAATATTTACAACGCATTGCACTCTAGCAATTGTAAAATCAATTATTCATAGATAATAATCTAATGTATATTTGGAACAAATGTTTTCAAAACAACTGTTCATATAACATGTCGATAACTTTCTAATTGTATATTTTCATTGTGCTACACAATTAGTACATTTGATCTGATAAAAAGATCGATTTCAGACAAAGTGGACAGTATTTTCAGAACATTATATTAATTAGTACTTTTGTCGTTTTACAACACGTTTGGAAATTTATGTATCTAGAAGGTACGGCTATATAATTTTACATTCACAATAAGAGTAATTCAGAAGTATATGAGACACATTTTTCACCCTGACCTTTTATTACCTAAAGTCGATAATGTAAGACAAAAATAAACAGCACTATATTGTGCATACGTAACTGACCGATTCATCTAATTCGAATATAAAATCAAAACTACAATAGTTTCTATGGGATACACTTTTCATTCCGAAAATTCAACGTCGATATTAAATTAAATTAACAACCGACAGTACATTGTACAGAAGATAGCTGTGAACGCTTTACACAATATTCACAGAAAAAGAAGATAGCTTGAGAAGCTTTAGAAAAACATTTATTCACCAAAATAGAAAAAGTTTTTCAAGCGCTTAATAAAAATCTTACTTTACGTTTCTATAATTAAGAAGTGAAGCACCTAACAAAATACTAATTTCTTTTCCTAAATGACGTAATTATTGCAGTGAATAGAAACACAAACATTGAAATTCTACAACTCGAAAGCGATGCACTCAGAGGAATACTAAAGCAAATGGTTGTGCAGAACAGTTTAAACAAAATTCAACTGAATAAACTACAAATCATGTTTTACACATGACACCTAGTAGCTCTGAGACTGTGGAATAAATTACCTAAAATAGTCACCTATTTGCGTACCCCTCAATTCAACTGAGTGAGTCAATCCAAAAGTTGTTTCAAGTATTTACTTTTTCCTTACTCATGAACAGTATTGCTAAGTAAATGCGTAGTTAAGACTGTCAGTACTTCTATTTTATTCCTTCTGTTCTAAGCAAACCATGAAGGCAACAATAACTAGTTACCTTCAACAATTTAATATATCAAGAATAGATTACAAAAAGCAGTGAACTCAAAGTCGTTCAAACAGAAGAAGCGATTGTAATGCAAATGAATAGCCTAAGCTCCGTAAACCCTATTAACCATTTCCATTATAAAATTACTTGATAAGTTTGATGCACTACAAACCCTTTTGTCAAATATCTTAAAAATCTGAATTAATCTAATTTAATTTATTAGTTCGCATACACTTGAGCAATTTCTTTGTCACTCATTCCACATGTATGACCTCTAACCTAAATCATATAATTCTATGTATAGTACAATCCCTGAATATTCCTTAATCATGTTATTAATTCTTTTGCACCACGTTACCTGTATTTATTACAATTATTATTCGTACGATTTCATTTGTTTTACAGTGTCATTGCAACATTTACAAGCAATCCTTAAATCCATAAAGTGGATTATTAGAAATTCATGTCGTCAAATTGGCGATACGTTTTAATTAATTATTCGAAATAATAATTGTTGAACATAAAAATTTACTGAAAAGGATACTCTACGTTCATATGTATTTGCTTTAATTATTAGGAATATTAAATTGTTTGTTAACATGAAATCTACCGATAGACTGAAAAAATTAAAATGGATAATGCAATTTATGCTATTCTAATGATGAATAGTAAATGACGAAAGTTATTAAATATTTTAAACGTTTATTGAATACTCCGATGTCATTAAATCAATAGTGTATAAAAAAGATAGGAGCAGTACACTATTGAATAAACTAGTAAGACGATTGAACCGCTGATTAGACGTCAATTTTAAATTTGTGCATAATTGTAAAGATATTATCTGTATTACAAAAGAAATTGATTTGTTATTTTTGCTGTGATCAACGTGCTTTTAATAATTTTGCAGTTACTTTAGAAAAAAACATTGGATACATGGGCATTACTCAGGAAATGGATAGTCCTTAAAATATATTATTTATGTTTACGTATAAAAATTTATTTTGATTGGCAGATGAGAGATGTTGAAGCATTTCTCTGCATAGTTCAACTACCGTTATGAAATTCACAATTTTTCTGTATATTAAAACCATTTACTTGTTAAGAGAACTAGTTATTTTTAATCATACAACTCATATCCGTACAATGTTGATGATATTTTTTAATTTCTGATAAACATAGCCACAAAATCTGTAATTCTAACCTAAAGGCAGTATTAATTATCATCTGTTTTCCTAACCACTCAATGTGTTACTCAAAAAGCTTTCTGGACTTACCTAGCTAGTTCTACTAAATTAACTGTTCCCTTATATATATATATATATATATATATATATATATATATATATATATATACAGAAGACTGAACAGACTATAAATTGAAAACCTGCTGAATACAACAATCAAATTTACATTACAAAGAGTATATTTGTTATCATTTTTCTTGACAACTTTTAAAAAACATAACACAATTTTGTCGATCTACATTTCACAAAATATCAGTTTGATATAAAACTGGTTAATAATAGTGAAAATGATGATTGAAAAACCCTAGTACGAAGGCAATATCTCTCAAACATGCTTTGTTGAAGTCATTCATTTAGCTACCGAACTCACCTTCAAGTACGTCCAACCTGTAGTTCGTTGAGGCGTAAAGAGAAATATCGCGAAAAAAGGACTTCCCCTTGTCAGTTTCTCTCTAATTTGAAAGAGCTGTACACTAAAAACTGTTGCAGGGACCCTGATCGATTAACACAACTTCACCTTCGACATTTAGTGTGAAACTAATATTAGTGTGACTCGACTTCCAAGCTGTGTCCAGAAAAGCCCACATGAATCAAGTTTCTGCTGCAGTATATATCCACACTGAGACTTTGGGAATTCTCAGCTACACCTGTCTCCCATCTCATCTGCATCGGCCAGTAAATGTTGAATACGTAAAGTTCAAACAACACCTACGGTTTAGGAATAGCTGTATTAAATTTCACACTGAGAGACAATTCTTAGAAAGCTACTTCATAGTTTATTGAAATATCAGTAAGTCGAATCCACATCTACACAGCTTTGCATAAAACATACTATCTTAACCGTAATAGTAGATACATACTGTCGTTATATGCTAACAAACATCAATTCGTTCATCAATAATCTTTAGCAAAAACTATAAACTTATATGACAGACAGTCATTTAAATGAAAAGTTAATATGAATGTTCGAAACGGTGTGAAATGAGAAATTTTACTAGTATTTTAACAAAATTGCTTACTTCTTTATAAACTTCTTCGGGTGACAGTAATGCATTTAGACATGTGCTTACATGATGATCACAACATGCAATGGGTATACTTTCACGGTAATCTTCGTAACCATTGACACCACAACAGCGCAACTACACAAAGATGAAAATTAACAAAGTGAAAGTATTTAGATAGAGAAAATGAAACCCGCCTATCACTTTGTCCAGTTAGAAAACAGACAGTCACAAAGAAATCGTTAAACACACAGGTACTAGGCATTTGACTTTGGACAATTTATTTCTATCACATGATAATGAATATACATTACAGTCATCTGTATATAAACAAGGAAGTTCACAAGTATCCATCAATATGAGAAATTTAATTTAATTAGTAAAAATATGGGGATTCAATTATTCATTAACTGCTTTGTTGAGACATGTTTTTTAAAAGTTGATATTACACACGCTTCACTTTTACAAGAATGAGAGGTTTAGATCAGTAAGCAGTTCCCATACAGAATGTCCCATTAATAGTGAGTGAACTCTAATTTGACATTTTAAGAAGTAAAGGATCAAAGCATATTTACTTTACAATTCTCACTTCTCTTAACAATCCCTTAGTTGGTCAGTTTGATGCTCCGTAAATAATGTGATGGCAAACACATAACCATTTGATTAGAAAGCTTTTACAAGTAAATATGAAAACTAATAATCAACATCAATGCCGTGTATTACAAACTTTGGACTGAATTTTGAATATTGACATCATTTCATATTTATTCAGCTTTATACATTGACGGAATTCTGATTCTTTTCACTGTCAACCTGAAAACAATTGTATCATTTAGTTGAAACATATCCATATACACGGAGATTAGTAAATTCAAGTCAGTAAGTGAATAAGATTTCTAGAAAACATATACATGTTAACTAATAAGAAAAATTTGAACACAAGTTTCTCTAAAATGAAAATTAATGTAAAAAGTTGCGTGATAACAATTTTAGAAACGGGTATATTAATAGGATAAAATGAGTAAAGCCAAGAAAATGACACAAGAATGAAGGAAAGGAATTTATAGATGAGAGCATGAAGTAAGGTATGATGTAGTCTGTTGATGGAAGTTGGAGTCATTAGGGTAATGTTAGATATATAAGTATATCTCCTTTTGGATGCCTGGGATTAATTTCACTCTTCTAATAGAGACGACTCCTGAAGAACATTAAAAAAATTCGAAGTTGCTTGAGTATTGATAATTTGGAAAGATTTTGAAAATGATTTATCACTAGAGTACTCTCGTAATCCTTCTATATTTTTTCGCATTTTTACCAGTCTTCATTATTATGATGTAAAGTATTAATACGGGATCTAAATAATTATTACTACTGTATCAACGTTTTACGCAGCCGAAGAAAACCTACAAGACGAATAAATTTATATTTTGCTACCACATTCTTGGTTGTTATTTTATTCAAATTTCTCAAGGGGAAAACTGTATAATAAAACATTCAGCTATATTGTCTACTGAACAAACAACGCATGTCTTGATGTAGTCGTCTGAGTTATTATTTACAAGGATAAAACGTTATGAAACGACCAATATTATACCCTTTACATACAGTGAATCCCGTCAGACTTTATGATATCACATAAAACTAAACTGAAAGCAAACGTACTCTCATTGTTTTTCTTTTTATTGATAAGATTCTAAAGATTTGACTTTTACATTAAATAGAACTTTTGAATAAAAATAATTCACAGAAGACCACTTACAGTGACTGAACTAAGAAACGATTAACAATGCGGTGTACATTTTAGTTAATTATCAAAATTATGTAGTTCTATGATTACTAACTGAGATGGTGAAGAAGATTCGTAGCTCAGGTGGATGATTTTGATAGAGCTTTGTTCTCTGAGCTGGGTAGTTTGGTCGTGGAGCTCTCATCGTTCTTCTGAACGACATCATCAACCCAAACTTCAGGTAGAAGTGAATCCATAAAAAAAATTACTAATTGAATTTATTAAGAGCTTAAATAATAAATATCAAACAAATTAGTATTAAGTTTAATTAATACGAAACTCAAAAGCTGAAAATGTCAGCACACTAAGCGAAACCAAACTTTATTTTCTTTTCTTATTCATGTGTCATGTTTCAGACTGGTGAAAATAAATAATAAAATTTATGAATAAATCTCGCATGTGGGAGCGATATAAATAAAAAATACACTATACAATTTGGTTAATTTTAGCGAATATTATTTATTTACAGTCAATGTCTAGAAACAAAAACAACAAATATGAATGAACAAGTTTTAACATGAAATAATATCGATAAAATTTTTCTGAGAAAACAATAACTTACCATACGTTGGATTGAATCCATAAACGGTACGGGATTTTCACGTTGATCACGTAGCATTGAATACTCTTCAATACCTTCTCTCATACGATCATCGACATATTTCATAATCTATATTTAGACAAAAACTAATTATTGTTATAAACGCTTTTTATTTCTATGCGTGAATAAGAATGAAAATGTATACTTACTACAAAAATAACTTTTTTTTACTTTTCATCAAATTAATGTGTATATTTGAAAACCTTAAAAATAAAAAAAGCTCCAACGAATTCTCTACTTCATTATCATTTTCATCAATCAATTCCATGCGTGAGAAATTGTTAGTTAATTTGATCACAACATAATATAAGCTAGAGTACTATAGAAAAGATTAATTATGCTAATAATCTTATAAAGCGGGTGATAATAAATTAGTGTTATAAGATATCTGAGAATACAAATCAATCATTCCATAACTTTCAATGTCTTTACAAATGATGGCAGTCAGTAACGAAAGTTATTAACATATTTGTCTCAAAAAGTCATGTTTTAAACAGATACTCTTTAGTTCTGAGCATAGATAATATTAGATGAAAGAATATCAGTGAAATAAATTTATTTGATTTGTATTAAGTGTTGCTTAAAATAGACGATTATCACGATTCTTTGTAAGTTTACCAGACTTTGTTATTAAAGCACTGAAAATAATTCACCAAATAAACTTATGTTCTTAAACTAGTCAATCAATAAAACATGTATTGCAGCAGCTACCCTGACTATAAAAACTATAATAAATGGAGGAGACAGAAACTGGTTATCCATTGGCAAAACTTTGAATGTTTACTTTATTAAATAACATGTAGACAGATAAACTCAGCATAAATGAGAGACTGTCATCAATGATAATGTGATATCTGTTAGGATACGTAAGTATAAGCTGTTCATAGAGCTTCAAATCAATAGAAAATCAAACCAATTACAAACGAACTTCATATTTTAAGTTTACCATTCATATAATGCGGTATATAAAATGGCGAGTCACGCGAAAAAAATAAACACATTAATTACATTCTCAGCATAGAATCTTAAAAATACAGAAGGAATATTCTCAGTTCAAAATTTAATCACACTACACAACAATTTCAAAAACTACAAAAACATCTTTGTTACCATAATACAGCTAGATGATGCCACTCATTTATTTTATTATTTATTGAAGAAACATTCAGCACAGTGCTTAACGTATTTATGTAGTTTATTCACACTAGACTTTAGTTGAGATACATAAAGTATTGAACAATACACGATACATAGGTTCGTCACTTACAAACTTGTCACCTGTAACGTAACAAGGCAGTAGGCGTAAATCGCTACAGAAAGGTGGCTTAACTGATATTTAAATATAGGTCAGGTCAAAAAGAGATCATGTTCGACGTTCTTATTTGTGATAGCTTATTGTGCAAGTTACCTATACATTATAGTAGGAGTAATAGTACAGATGGAAAATCATTAAACACCGAAAATTAATACATTCAGATAAACGAATATAAAATTCTTTCAAGGTGAAGATTTCATTGTGCTAAACAAAACTTACTCAATATTCTTTTTATCAAACCATATAAAACTTATAAGCATATTTCTTCATAAAGGCGATGTGATTAGAAATCACTAATCGAATACCAATTTTTGTAAAGATCTGGTATCCGTTGCTATACTTATTACTTATGTATGCTTTTTAGAGATAAACAACAAAATATGTAAGCAATTTATTTGCTATCTTGTCAAATGATTTAATTAACATTTGGATAGAAAATAATTCACTGATTAGAAATGTTCCCTTCCCTAGGCTTATACTAAAAGTAGCATCAAGATTCGATTTATTAATTAATACTTTCAAAAAACGTTTACAGACAAGTGCATCAAAATATAGCAACCCATATATGATAAACCTTTTATAATAGGAGACGGGTTATGTAGAAAGTTTTGCAGCATCAATTACAGCTAACTAGTTTAGATGTAAACTGATATTATTTGATTTCTTACAACTACTCCTTACCAATAGCACTAGCATGAAACAATAAGATATTCGAATCATGCATAATTATATTTTTGTACTCTTTCAGTTTACGGATATCCCGTACATTAAACAGCTTAAAAATGTATACATCTGTGAGGACAGGAGAACTAAGTATATTTATTTATGCACATAATTAATGAATGAATAAAGTTTAACATTATTAAGTGAAGTTCTAGTTTATATATACATAGTATTCTATGAGTTTGTATCTGGAAGTTGTCCAATTATGGGTTTACGTATTGGTAGGATGTTTAGGTACTTATTCGAGTTGCTTTGCATACGCTTATACAAGCAATTGTATATTTACCAATTAACAATAGTTCAGATTTACGAAAACTCATACTTTTTAATGTATATGTATGTGTGCTTATTTCGAGCAAAACATTCATTTATATATCCAATAAGAATCTTTTCTCTTAACTTTATAACCTAACACTGAAGTAATGAATAATTATGATTCTTTCGGTACCAGTTAAGAATACTTCGTTTTATTTGAAACCTTATGTAGTACATAGTGCCTTTTCATTGGACATAATCAAACATACTAATCAGGATAACTAGTAGGGTGATTTAACAAGTAAATGTTGTGAGCTCATTGCTCGACGGTTTGTGGTGTTCATGCATACTTTATCCATTGCAATTTACTCATCAACGTTGTGGATTTGATGAGTGTAGTTATATATTACATAAATGATGCAACTGTCAAAGTAATGAGAAAACAAATAATTAATGAGCTGTTTTATTCATCTATTTATTTTCACTTCTTACTATAGAATTTCTAAGGACTCGACAATTAAAAATAATCTTGTAACTAAAGTAAACCCTTATTGAAATCATGAGTCGATTGAAGCTAGACCACCATGGAAAACCTGGAAGCACTGGACGGCCGTTTCGCCCAAGTACGGGACTCCTCAGCAGTGTGCATCCACGATCCCGCACCACGCCGGGTTCGAACCCAGGACCGACTGGTTTAGCGCGCGAGCACTTAACCACTAAACCACCGAGCCGGCATCCAACGGTGTTAATGTCTAACTTGATTTCAACTCATGATTTCAACCTATGAAATTTCTAAAAAAAACTCTCCACAAAACCCATTCTGATAATAATCAACTGCTCACTAGTGACTGACTTCAAGAAAAACTCCTGGAGTTCTAGTGAGAAGCCGTCACCAGTGGAGTGCAACCAGGTCTGTTGTGAGATAACAACTCACTGAAGACAATGGTGTACGGTGGCGCAACTTCGTGAATTGGTTGAAGTTAGACATTAACACCGTTGGATGCCGGCTCACTGGTTTAGTGGTTAAGTGCTCGCGCGCGAAGCCAGTAGGTCCTGGTTTAGAATCTCGCGTGAAGAGAGATCGTCGATGCGCACTACTGAGGAGTCCCATACTAGGACGAAACGGCCGTCCAGTGCTTCCAGGTTTTCCATGGTGGTCTAGCTTCAATCGACTCATGATTTCAACCTATGAAATTTTAAAAAAAACTCCACAAAACCCATTCCGATAGACCCTTATTACTGATTACGATTTCCTATTGTGTTTTCTTCAAAATTGGTTTGGCCAGTTGCATAAAATAAAATTGAAAAATGGAAGACAAGAGGTAGTTGTTGCAACACAGTCACATGAGGTATCTATAGCAATGTATGAAATTTCCAGATTTTAGTAGACAAAACACCGACATTCAATTATACTCAGAAATAAAACCTACTTTTTAAATTCTAATACTATATATTACTAAATATGAAGACCACTAGTGTGATATACATATATGAAATTTCTTTTGGAAGTTTAAGATACAAAAATAAAATGGTATTGCTAAGCTTGTTTGTTACCCAAATTTCTGCAAAATAGGACGTCAAAAGCTAACACTAGCTAGAAATAACAATCATGTCTTTTTCTGGTTCTCTTCAACCAGACTATCTTAAAAAATCAAAAACCGATTCCTTACATGAAACCATATTGTTTAATATTGAGGGTTAAATATTCAGATCAATCTATTCATGTTACTACATTAGGGTTATTACTCCGAATTTCAGATTAAACTGATCGTTATCCGTCAGTCAAGCCGAAGTGCTTACTTCTTACACTTCTGATATAACAATTATTAGCATCTACGAATGCTTGTATTTTATAATGCTATTAGTCCTAGCAGCATCAAAAGTCTACAAATGCCACACCAAAATAAGTTGATAGATAAATCTTCGTCGATATGTTCTGCCAACAAATGTAAGATACAGACTTCCAATCAACTACCTAATGGTATGAAGAATAGCTGAGCAAAGTGGAAGAAAAATGGTACATCTAATGATAACTGATGCATACTACAGGATCCACAAATACCAAGTCTTCATGAATGACCCAAAGAGGATGCTAGAGAGGATACTCACATTAGAACATTTAGCAACCTTGACAACAGCCATCGAGATATCATGCAGACAACACAGAGAACAAAGAAAACATTCTCAAGAAAAAAACTAACCAGGAATTCAAAAACACCCATTGAAGAAAACACAAACAACTGAGTGATCAACCTGTCGAAGGAACCGCTGACAAACATAGAAGAACACAAGCTCCGAAGACGATTAAACAACAATACAAGAAAAACGCCAAAACTATGATTTATTGCCACACTAGAGTCATCACTAAAAACTGCCAGAACAAGTGAAGAAATCTACCAAAAAATAAGACAAAACATAGTACCGCTAGCTCGACGAAAAAAAGACAACAGCCAACCAACTTCACAAGAACAAAAAGCCTTTAAGAAATCCAGAACTATGGAAGACATTATCATACTTTCAGCAGACAAAGGACGCGCCACAGTGATTGTGGACAAGCATGAATATAACAGGAATGTCAAGGAACCACTTGATGATAAAATCGTCTACAAACCAATGGACGCAAACCCAATCAAAAGATTAGATAACCAAATCTCAAGGACTTCAAATAAGCTTGTCAAAACAGAACAAATATCAAAGCAAGATCAATGAAAAATGAAATCCAATGGACTAGTACTCCCCTACATCCTATAGCCGGCCAAAAATACACAAACCAAACATCCCACTATGTTCAATTTTAGCCCTCCCCGGAATATCAACGTACAACCTGTCAAGAGAAATTTCACGAGTATTGAAACATTCAGTGCATTCATCCAAACATTCTATCGGATCTCCCATACAATTCCTGGACAACATTAAGGAGATTCAAGCCAACAACGACGAACTGGTATCCTTCGATGTGACAGCCTTATTCACCTCAACTAAATGAAGCTTAGCAAAGGGAACTCTATTCCTGCTTCTCACCAACGACACAAATATCCCTAAGTACACGGAGCTTCGAAGTTAAAGTTTACTAGAACTAACCAATTTATGTTCAACAACATATTTTTAATAAAACAACAAAACCTAGGAACAAGTGAAAAGAAAACCGATGAGATCACTAATATCAGGACGTATTGCAGGAGCAGTGATGCAGAGACTGAAAGTCTCGACCTTATCAGTGATCAAGCTAAAACGTTGGATTAGTTATGTGGACGAAACTTTCGTCATCATCAAAAAGGATGGGCTGGAAAACACTCAAAATCTGATCAATAACGCTTTTGGTGACAAAACGTTCACAATGGAACAGGAGTCAAACAACAAACTACCATCCCTGGATGCATTCATCACCAGAACTAAAACAGGAATACGTGAGGCTCAAGTATTTTGGAAGCCAACCTATACATATCAAATTCTCAATTACATTAGCAAAAACCCAAGAACTCACAGCGCAGAAAACAATTATGTTAATGTATTTTCAACCCATACACAACTAGTTGTCAATAAACGCAAAAATATTGTAAAACATTTGCTTTTTGACGAAACAAAAAAACAGGACAATGAATAACTGCACAGTGGCAAAAACGTCACAATTATAAATTTCGCTTTATGCTAGTTATTGATAAAATAACACTTAAATGAAAGATTATCAATAAATAGAATATATTCTGGATAAAAGTAACCCTCACCTCCTCTCTGTATAAATAACCCAATGTGGCTCCTGTTACTTGAGTTGCAAAGATCACTATAAGGATAGTGAAATATGTTCCCAAAAGACACTGCGATTCATGGTAAGCACCACAACAGCCAAACAACGCTATTACTAAAGTAATTCCACCGATACCCATAAGAGCATATAACATGATTTGTACCGCATGTTGCTGTCCCGACGCAAGTATGATGTCCTGCGCCTCTGGTTCCAGGTAGATGTAAACAGAAAAGCCCAAAACTGCCAACCCAATAAGCTGGATGAATGAAAAAAATTTATTGTTTTAGCACAACAAAAACATTAATTACAGTTAAACAAGAAATAATCCGTTATTATATTATGTAGATTTAAGGAGAACTATGCTGGGATGAAGTGTTTGACTGATTGCCGAGTGTTAGAAAAATCTATCTAGACTCGAAAGGAATACCCATCTACTTAACTTCTTAAATAATCGGGCGTTTACGGTTAGTCTTTTTTTCAATATTATCTCAGTAGCTTCAGAAGTAACTACGTCATATAGTATGACTGAACACATCGTATAACAAAAATGTATGCTCTCTCATGTTATTCATACTGCTATACCGTAACAAAGCTACAATACTGCCATTCTTGCACATGTATTTTAAGACACTTCCACATACAACGGCCATTTACACTGGTAGAATAAGATGTACGTAATGATAGTCTGTATTCAAATATTACACTAAAGTTGACGATGAACAAATGCTTGTTGAAATTTAACCCTAAGGAGTCAAAACAAGAAATCACCTAGTTTCTGATACATGTGAGGTTTAGAAAAGTCAACAGAAATCACAAGTGAGATATGATAAGTGAATAAACATTTTACATCAGTTTTAAATGTAAGACAATGGCCTAATACGAATCAAGACAAAATAATTAGAAAAGAAGATAAAGCTATTAATTTTTTCCAGAATTAATAAAAATCGTTGTCACATTAAAGAAATAAGAAATATAACGCTCAAATTATAATCACAGTTCCCTACAGTTGTTTCTGATTGACAACATCTAGTAAAATAAAATGCACGAATTTTTGAGTTTTTCTCTGACCAACTAAAGTTATCTTGGACAAATTACTTTTGTTTCCTTGTTTATCAACAATATTATTCGAACAGATATTACGTTTTTGTTGTTTTATGTCTAAGATCCAAGTTTTATATGTCCCATAAAAAGCTATCATCTGCTCCGAACTGAGACAACGCCTAAAACCACGTTATATACCTAGGTCGCATAGATTTACGGTAATTCAAATGCCTTATTGTATCGCTTTGTGGAGGAACTGACAACTGTAACATATATTTAGCTATCTAGTTCACCGAATACTTCTTCAGGCCAAAATAAACTTGATTTTCGATTTAGAGACCACAATGGTAGAATCTTATTTTGTATGCACAACAAACTTTTTTGAGCAGTTCATGAGGCAGTCATCCAACTTGTGAGGTCATATCATTATATACATATATGGAAACAGCTAGGAAATTATTGTACTCAACAAAGGTGATACACTTGAAATATATCAAAATATTTCGTGTAACATATACGGTATCAAAAACGGCCGCATAAACTTTCCCTGCAACATCGATGACACTTGGGTACCAAATAACTCGAAAGGTTACCAATAGTTGGTTTATGATAGACAACTCACTAAACCACCTTCAGCTATATATATATATATATATATCTGTCACCATCTGTCGTCAGATCGCTTATTTAGTCTGAATGACTGATCTAACATGAAATCAGTTGGATCAGTTTACGGTAGACGGGTTTTACTCAACAGATAACAAATGTGAAACACACCACAGGAGTTTGTACTAGACACCGTCCACACATTCCCATTGCTACAGAGTGATTCAGTATTATTTTACTATGCGAGTTATAACAACTTTATACAAACCGAAAACTAATACTCAAGACGGTTCAGGTGTTATTATTGATCCAATCTTTTAGAGAAATATTGGTCAAATTAACACAGGATTATATTACAATATTTACCAGGTAATACACCAAATTAAAGCAATTACGTTAATTTATTGATAAGGATTGCTAACTTAATAACTTAATTAGCTTAAAATTTTCGGAAGACTTAGTAACTAACAGTTATCTTTATAGGGACATTTTGTCGAGTATTACTCAATTCACAATCTTGTCAAAAAAAATCCGTATTTAAAAATATTCTAGTGATATTATTTGACGCTTACCACAACCAGGAAGTTGAAAACTACTAGTATGACTCTTAAACACTGTATACAGCCCTTCATAATGAAAACACCGTCAGTAGTTTGAAAAACCGCAGATCTATGACGGTACAACAATCATACTTTGAAAAAGTAAAAATATGTATTGAAAAACCGAAGTTCGTCATATGGTATAAATAGTTTATTATTGCATTGAAAATGATAATGATATTTTTATGAAGTCACTCGTGTTCACATATGTACTTACAGTACAGAATATATGGGACACATTTCTAGTGTGTTTCCATGTGGTTGGTATCCAACTGCATGAATCCATCGAAGGTGATGCAAATATTCTTATTGTTGGTCCAATTTCGTTTGAATACCCTTCCGTTTTAAAATCTTTAACATCTAATCGAATGCCAGTAAGCCGTAGTCTTCAAGCCATCACCCACAGTGAACCCCAGTACATTTGTTGCTGATCTTTGAGATGTTCTACCAAGTATTAGTTTGGAGATTTCGTGACTTATCGTTACTTTCTGTCGAATTTCGACCAGAAAGCCTTCTATTTCGGTGCCTTGTGGTTTATAACTTTGTGAACTTCAGTAAATGTCATGTTTAAGGCTTTGGGAGGGACCTCGCAGATTATCTCAACTCGTTTTCTTCGATTCACGGACATTCTTCAGTAACCGTCACTAGATACAGATTTACTGTGGCCAAAAGCCATTGCTAAAACCATGCTATTTACTCCCTAACGAGTAATTAGTTTCGAAAGAAAATATAATAATTGCCTAGGTTATTCTTGCAATACTTCTATAAATATTATTGATTTATAACTGAAAACTTCAGTCACTGTCATGGTGCTTGGATAGTAGTGGCTATGATATTCTTCTGATTCAGTATGAAAAAACTGCTTTTAACAGTCTAATGATTTTTGCTAGAGGGTCAGTGGAGTAAACTCCAAGATGTCTCATTGGTCAATCCAATCATTTTATTAAATCTATTTGACTTTGGTCTATCTAAAACATTTTATTTTTCGGCATGGCATCCTTATATGTGTCAATAATAAGGACTCTGTAACACAGCTACCTGATTTTATACTGTGTTCAGAGAAGTGTCGAGTGTAAGAGCATCACTAAAGTAGCCGCTGCTCTATCTATATGAACTAGAGAAGGAGATCCTCAAAATTCTTAAGTCCTGTAATTCATTTACGAAATACAGTGCTTTGAAAACTTTCCATGCTGGTGAGTACTCCCTTTTTCATCGATAGAAAAAATTAACTAGTACTTAATAAGTCTTTCGATGGTGCAACAGAACAGTCGGGGATTGAGAATCTTTTTTCTTCAACAGTTAAAGTTTTTCAACATTCAACACAAAATAATAGGAGGTATAATACAAGTACAAAACAAGCAAGTGAATGAATACTTAAGCTTTAAAGTTTCGGTATTACTAAGATTTTTTTGGCAACTCTTAACCAATCACCCTACGTTGCGGCAAACTCATCTATAGCATCTGTGAATTAATCTCTTATATTGTATATGAGACCCGGTGGAAACGTAGTACACCTGTCTTGAGAAGTTTTATAGACCTTCTGCCCTTTGGCGGTAATAGACCACATGATGGTTTTTCAATGTTTTTCTCCTTTTGAAAAGCAAACAGCAGACTTTCCGGTCGGCCAAAATGGAGTAGTTTTTCTCGTCCGGGAAGAAAAAGGTAAAAACGTATTTTACTTAGTTGAAGAGCCTATTTAAACGTCTCGAAGTTAAGTTAATACTGATGGGTTGGTCGTAATTTATTGAAGGTCCAACACTGAATAAGTTAGTGATTCTCACCTGTGTTGCGAAGTTCATAAGGAACTCGATTCTGGGAGGAATTTAACGTAATAACTTATGTTTGTTATTTAAGAGTTGACTTCAGACATCTAAAAATATGTCAACAAAGACCTCAAGCATTCATCGGTTTTCATATCGTGTATAGGTATTGTATGTTTCCAATATTATGCTGGATTAGCTATTCTACTAAGACAACCTATAACATGCGAACTCGGACTTTTACACTAGGATTGCGTGGCTGACACCGAATGGACAAAAAAGAAAAGAAAACAGACAATAAAAGATATAGTCACTAGTATTCTTAACACTTCATCCTCTATACATACACCCTTCGAATAAACCGCTTCCCTTGTACCAACCTTGACTTCCCTTCCCTCATATGAGCTTACTCCAACTTGTTAAACATCACAACTCATTGTTCTTTATTAGTACATTCTCTAATATGGAGCCTCTGACTTCACTTCACTCTAACAAGACATTATATGAATTTATTCTAATTTATTCTACCTCTGTCCGTTCTACTACACAATGTTAAGCAACCTTTGGCGTTCATATCCAAGTGCCTTGCTGCTCTTCTGTTTCTCTTTTTTTTCTTCTTCAGAATCTTGCTCTGAGAGCACAGCTATGAAACTCCTGACGTTTGGAACAAACTTAACGTACGCGTCCTTTCAAGGTCATAGTTTACAGCAAGCGCACTACGATTTCACTTTATAACAACTATAAACTTAATAAGTTGGGAAGCATTTTGCCAACCAACAAATGTTGTAATTTATAGATCATGCCTGTAAAAACGGTGTGTACCTGCAAATGCAGAAGTATATTATTACTTATTACTTATTACTTACTTATTTATTATTATCTGATATTGGATATTCAGACATGTGTGTCTGAACAGGTAGTACTGCAAACTCACTGAAGATGTCCAATATCACCACACTTAAAGCATTTAGAATTACGAAGTACACATGAATTACATGGCTGAGACTTGCCACGGGACAAACATTCATCATACTTGAGCCCATCTTCGTGAACTGTATTTCAACTCCTCAATGAATTGTTATCTACATAACCTTGAGTATGGACTGATTTGGGATGACGTAATGTAGTAGAATTTTTGATGTCCTGATGAATCATTTTACGAAATTTCCCTCCTTTACTGCAATCGAAATTTTCATACTTGACCTGGTCTATTAATAGATTTTTGAGAGTTGTATAAAGAAGAGATATGAGCTTCTGGAAAACCCGAATTTTAATAAACTTTATGCCTCTTTTCCAATGAATGTGAGGAAGTGGGCCACAGTATTGACATCCTCAATGTCTTTGTTATGTTCGTTAACTTGAATGCAACTACTGATTCGTCTTACTCGAAGCGGAACGAAGAATCAAGCAAACAGAGATTCGATAGGTTATACTGGTACGTTGTCCTCGACTCAGTTAACTCGATCCAGAAGTCTTGGTAAGATGTAAAAAGTGTGTTCGACAGACAACCAGAAGATACCAGGTTCCTCAAGCACACAAATCAAGCGTACTTACACAAAATATATATAATCGATATTGCAATGGAAGTTTTTAAACATTTAATCGATAAGTTCGTCAGTCAACTATGCGCGTGGGTGGTAAGAAATGCCCAAGCATACATCTGCATACAAGCCCCGCAAAGATAAAATTACAAAATATGAGTTTTGAAGATCTGACGTCCCCAGCAATCTTCCTTCGTCATTGCCCGGATTTCTAACCTTTCCAAGTAATCCTCAAACGCATCAAAATCTGAATGCATGTCCAACCGTTCCATCACAGGCTCAAACGCGGCGCCAATATGATAATTAGGAGTGTTTAAATTATGGCACTAACTAAGAATTCCAGAAATAACGCAATTGGATCAAAAAGTACAAGATAAGCACGAACGAATGTACTGTATTTGGGATTCGAAATCAAACATTCAACAAGTACAGAGGAATCATTAGTTCATTCAAACACCACATAGAGTCTACTTTGCTACACAAAATTCTCGATCTTCCAAAATAAAACAGTGACTTTTCAAGGAACGAAATCGATTACGACATAAGTTCAAGGGCTATCAAGACTAATAACATGAGACAAACACTGTCAATTTACACATTTTCAGAAACATTACTTACATATCTAAAAGAATTCAGTGCAACTTTTGCGTCTATTTTTAATACTTGAATTTCTATTTCCAGTAAAAGATGAGTAAATTCTAATTAGAATAGTATTTCCGAAGATAATCTACAAGCATGGAATAAGAGATACCACAATCAAGATGCCTCAAGTAAGGTATTCGGATGACCATTGAGAAGGACGTTAAGAGGTGGAAGAAACAGTTTTTTTAACTCAGACAAAAATGTATAGCCTTGAGATTAATAGTCTGACCATCTAGAAGAGAAGCATCTTACATAAGATTTGTTGAAAAAGACCACATTATTTGACCGAGCACCTTCAGAATATATTTAAACAACACTGTTGGACGTCCACAAAGATACTTGTATAGAAAAAGTATTCACAGCTATAAGTTTTTGGTAGCTTGTAATGATCACGGAGACATCTTAGTATGTATTTGCAGACTTCAAAATATTTCCAACAACAAGGACGCGGCCAAAGTGTTGATTATGGTACTGACCATTAACGTTCTATTTACGTGCTTGAAGTTAGAACTAAAAAAGTTTATTTTCAGACACATTCGGAGTATCATTGCTAGTATTGGTTGTCGGTTGAGGAATTATGAGTGTGGGAGTCGTGTTGTGCGATTGTACCGAAAGAAAGTCGACGTGAATAGGATTTCCTTCTAAATACGCTGCTTTTAGGCGATCGATGCTGATGCTATCGTTGGTTCCGTTCTTATCGACTATATAGTACTTAGATTCACGTTGAAGAACTTTGAAGGGTCCTTCGTATGCTGATTCGAATGGTCGTCGATGCGAGTCTCGACGAACGAAAACGTGTGTACTATATCGTAAGTCAGGTTGAACGAAAACATCAGTTGATTGAGGTCGAGTGGAAGCAGATTTAACTGAACGCATTGCGTTTGTAAGCCTGTTCGTGTAGGAGGTTAGATCCATGTTCATTGAAGAGGATGAAGGATCCACGAATTCTCCTGGAAGTCGAAGTGTCGTTCCATAAAGGAGTTCAGCCGCAGTGTATCCAATGTCAGCTTTCACTGCATTGCGAATACACAGTAAGACAAGTGGGAGAGCGTCGGTCCACTGTGAAACGTTTGCAGCTGATAGTGAAGCT